GTTCACATCGCCATTGACAAAACCCAAACCATTCTTCCTCTTTTCTTCATCTCTTCCTCACCCACGAAAACTAGACACAAGGACAACGCTTAATCTCAACCATGAGACCCCAGATTCCAGCAAAACATCCTTAAATCGTCGAATGCTTGGTCTCGGGCCGAGTTTCTGCGCATTCCCTGAAAAGGGTATCAGAAGAAACGTGTCAGCAGAAGCAGAAGCGGCGAATTACGGAAGAATCCTTCTCTCTGACGTTGTCGTGAAGAGGAAGAGAAAGGTATTTTGGGGAAGGAGATGGAATTCCCTGGACGTGGGAACTGCCGCAGTTGTCGTGGCGATGCATGTGCTTAGTTTGTTCGCGCCGTTTCAGTTCAATTGGTCGGCCTTTTGGGTTGCCTTTGGTCTGTACGTCGTCACTGGTCTTCTGGGTATTACCCTGTCTTTCCATAGGAATTTGTCTCACAAAAGCTTCAAGCTTGCCAAATGGCTGGAGTACTTGTGTGCTTATTGTGGAACTCAAGCTCTTCAGGTTTGTTCAATCGACCTAGTTTTTGTTGTTCAATCTCATCAACAATGGATAGAAATTGTATTGGATTTCACTGTTTCTTCGAGAAAATTTCTCATCTGCTTTTGATAACGTGGAGCTCTTGGACTGCAGCATGTTTGTTTATATTGGTGTTTTTGCATTCAAGGTGGAAACTTTTCTGCTTTTTGTGGAAATATACAATGAATTGTCACAGGAAAATGATCAAATAGTGTGTGTCTGAAAACTGTTTCAGGGGAACCCTATAGATTGGGTGCGCACACACAGGTACCATCATCAGTTCTGTGATTCTGAGGGAGACCCTCATAGCCCTACTGAAGGATTTTGGTTCAGTCACATGAGCTGGTTGTTTGATTCAGATTTAGTAGCTGAAAGGGTACGCCTTTTAATTATCGCCATTTGTTTTCGGGTTCATCTACCGTTTCGCATTTTATCATAACATGGATTTATATACTATGATCATAACCGAAATCGTTTGTACTTGTCGATTGGTTCAAGTGTGGAGGGGCTATTAATGTGGGTGACTTGGAGAAGCAACCTTTCTATCAGTTTCTTCGAAGCACTTACATTTTGCATCCCGTCTTCCTGGCCTCGATCTTATATTCGTTGGGCGGATTTCCTTTCGTGGTGTGGGGAATGGTATGTTCTGTTTTTGATGGGTACTATGCTATCATATATATGTTATATAATCCATTAATTTGTTTTTTTGGTATTGCAGGGAGTAAGAGTCATATGGGTGTATCATATAACATGGCTGGTGAATTCGGCATGCCATGTATGGGGGAAACAGGCTTGGAAAACCGGGGATTTGTCCAGGAACAACTGGTAAAAACTTCATCACACAAATCTCTCTCCATATAATTAAACACGTAAATCTCTCACGCGATGATATTTTTTTAATGGGAAACTTTACAGGTGGGTAGCGGTTCTTTCGTTCGGGGAAGGGTGGCATAACAATCACCATGCGTTTGAGTTCTCGGCCCGGGCCGGACTAGAATGGTGGCAGGTAGACATGACTTGGTACCTTGTTAGGTTCTTACAAACCGTTGGATTAGCCACCGATGTTAAGTTGCCTTCTCAAGCTCAGAAAGAGAGAATGGCTTTGAGCTAACTGTTCTTTTGAGTTCTCTCTTTCTTGTCTACAAGGATGTCCAATTGGATTCGGACACGTGGTCTCAACGGTTTAGAGTCTGGTCAACGATTATAAATATGTGGGTTTATCTATTACTGTGTAATCAATATCTAATGAATCCTTTAAGAAGTGAAGAGTCATGTATAAACCAAATGAATTTGGATTTTTTTTTTTTATGGAATATCAAATTTTATATCATTGTTTTTGGAAAAAACGGTATGATAATAGATTAGGGAGGAACAAGTTTAAGGGAGGCTAATGTTGGAAATTAAACTTATTCCTAGAATTTTGTGATATAGGAATTTGTGTTCAAAGCATAGAATGATGTGTTCAAAATAATTATTGTTTAGACTAGATTTATTATTAGAACTAGAATGTTTTCAAGAGAAGTTTTAAAAACAACAAAAAACACAAGAAAAGAAATACAAAGAAGAAGTGTTTAACAGTATTTCTCCTCATCTGTTCTTGTTCATATATACTTATAAAGTATAAAGAAAAAAGTCTAAACGCTTACAAGTGGTATAACTTTATAGATTAACATGCAAATTGGACGCAAATGGTTGTATATATTACGGTCTCTACATTAAAGTTGAAAGATCAAAACCCTGTTTCATGGAAGATAATGCGAGTTTTAGATATGATTTCATTCGAATCGAAATATATATATATATATATATATATATATATATAGAATTGAATTTGATATAAAAAATTGAATTCGATTTTGATATAAAAAGTTATATATACATATATATATATATATATATATCGAGAATTGAAAATATTAAAGTCAAGTTACATATAATAAAAAAGAAAATTAATATTATAAATTAATCAGGTTTCTTTTTATCTGTCTATGTAATGAATTTATCCAATGACCGAATTTATCCAATGACCGTTATAATTTATATTATATCTTAGTAATTGTGAATTTAAACATTTCTTCTTTACATTAGAGTTGGACGATCAAAACCCTAATTCATGAAAGAAACACTAAAAAATATTATATAGCGATGGAACTTACGATGAAAATTTATGTTGCAATCGTAAAATCCGTTGCAATTTACGACGATTTGAACGGGTAATTCAGTTACAAGAAAATATAAGTGATTTACGATGAAAATTTTAAAATTGCGACGGAACATTCTAATTTATCTTTTTTTTTGGATGAGTTTTTTTTATTTCTAGTAGAAAATTAATTTTAGTTGCAAAACCCAATATATCACTCCTAATCATCTTCTTCCTCAAACTTCGAAAGTTTTCAAAAAAAAAAGAATCAAATTTAATATATGTGTGAAGAAATATATCTATATGTATGTGTATGTTAATGTATACGTGTATATGTTTATATATATGTGTATATGAAATGTATATGTCTATGTGTGTGTATGTATGTAATGTATGTATATATATATATATATATATATGTAGGGGTGGTCAAATCTGTTATTAACCGAATAATCGAATTGAATCGAACCGAATAACAACATTTCAGTTCGAATCGGTTATTTGGTAAATAAATGATCAGTTTTGAATGTTGAATAACTTTTTGGATTCGGTTTGGTTAAATAAATGATCAGTTAATTGAACAGTTATCAATAATTGATTGGTTTTTAAATTTTTATCCCAGGTATATCTTATGTTTTTAATACTTTTTTGTTGTGACGGTTTGTGACTCTCTCTCTCTAGTCTCTCCCTTTCACGGTAAGAAAACCCTAAAGTATTACTGCGAGTGTGGTGTTTGACGCCGGCGGTCTGTTCTCCGGCCCGATTACTCATCTCTCTCATGGCGTCTCAGGTTTGTCTTCTCTGTCGATGCTTCTTTGGTTCGTTCTCCTTTTTTCTTGTGAATATGTCTGAAATCGACGTCTCTCACTGCATTTCTGGTTTTAAAAACGGAATTTCTGATTTTATAAATCGTGTTTCTTTGCGGTGGTGACAATAAATCGAAGCTTCAAGCCTTTGTTCTGTGCATGGACGTTTCTTCTTCTTTCTTATGTGCTTTCTCTTTTGTTTCAATTTTTATTCCATGCATTTCGTTTTCTATATATTATGTGGCGAAAGGTATATTAGCATTTCAGATATCTACGTTTGCATATCAGAATCAGCTTTTAGTATAGGGGGTCACATTCTAGACCAATATAAGAACAACTATATATATATATATATATAGTGGAAACATTAGTTCTTTTTTTTATTAACAAACACCAATAACGTTAATATAAATCTTATAGGTTGGATTAACATAATGTTTGATAATTGGATCTACCCCTAGGCCCTAGGGACTTATGTTTTGGAAACAATTCCACAGATTTATTTAGAGAAAGAAATATGATGTGATGGAGGGAGGTGGAACTCCACAATTTCTCAACAGGGTGTAAAATGTACAGAAGATAAGTATGGGGCCCATTTCGAGTTTCTAATAAATTAAAAATGGGGTGGACGGAATTGTGAAAGTGACCAAATCAAACGTTAATTGACTTCAGCGCCCCAAACTCGCAATCCAGTATCCCAACATCTTATCCCTCCCTCCACTCTTTTCTTTTCAACGTCTAGTCGTACGACATGTTTTTGATGAGCGATAAAATGAAGCCAAACAAGAAGAATACAAAAATAATATAAAATTTGAAGCTTATTAAAAAAAATAAAGAAAAAAATACTATCACAGCAAATTTCGAACTATTGTTAGGTAACAGTTTTATAAACTTGGTATAAAAAATATTTCAAAGAATTTCAATGTTGATATATATATATATATATATATATATATATATAATGAATTTTCTTATGTATATATAAAACAAAATTCATCTATAAAATTAGTAATTTGTTGAACTTATCAAATTATGTATTGAACTTTCTAGGAATGGACAAATTTATTAACTGCGCTATTTTACTCTGTTATGAATTCAAAAGTACACATTGTAATTTTCTTTGTTGGACTTCCTGTTGACGAAGAAACGCCAATAAGAGTTTCCTTTTGAAGTACACAAAATAATTTTTATAAATATACGTATTTACTAACAAATACGGAAAAGTTTATATTACGGATTGTCATAATCTATAGATAATATTTTTTTAAAAACAAATTAGCATTTTGGGATTTATTAGTAAAAAAATAAGTATTAGAAAAGAAACTACAACTTGATTACCAAAAAAAAGAGAGGGGGAAGAAGTTGAATAACAGTTACCAAAATAAATAAATAATAGAGATATTATTATTGCGTAAAACATGGATTTTCTCCGACCATGAAGGTTGACGAAAAGAAACCGACCTCAGCTGGTTTCATTTGAAGTGTCGTAAGGAGAGATTGTGTCCACAAAATATCTACATGCATGTGCCCCTCAAAATCATATAAAAGCTTATAACTTCGACCCATAATTTCGATTGAATTAAGAAAAGGAAGCCATTTTTCTGCAAATCTCTTCGCTTATGGCTTCCTTTTTCACATCGCCATTGACAAAACCCAAACCATTCTTCCTATGTTCTTCATCTTTTCCTCACCCACGAAAACTGGACATAAGGACAACGCTTAATCTCAACCATGAGACCCCAAATTTCAGCAAAACATCCTCAAATCGTCGAATGCTTGGTCTCGGGCCGAGTTTCTTCGCATTCCCTGAAAAGGGTATCAGACGAAACGTGTCTGCAGAAGCAGAAGCAGAAGCAGAAGCGGCGAATTACGGAAGAATCCTTCTATCCGACGTGGTGGTGAAGAGGAAGAGAAGGGTATTTTGGGGAAGGAGATGGAATTCCCTGGATGTGGGAACTGCCGCAGTTGTCGTGGCGATGCATCTGCTTAGTTTGTTTGCGCCGTTTCAGTTCAATTGGTCGGCTTTTTGGGTCGCCTTTGGTCTGTACGTCGTCACTGGTCTTCTGGGTATTACCCTGTCTTACCATAGGAATTTGTCTCACAAAAGCTTCAAGCTTCCCAAATGGCTCGAGTACTTGTGTGCTTATTGTGGAGCTCAAGCTCTTCAGGTTTGTTCATCCACCAAGTTTTTTGTTCTTCAACCTCATCCAAAATGGATAGAAATTGTATTGGATTTCACTGCATAATGTTTATATTGGTGTTTCTGCATTCAAGGTGGAATCTTTACTGCTTTCCATGGAAATGTACAATGATCAAATTGTGAAAATTGTTTCAGGGGAACCCTATAGATTGGGTGAGCACACATAGGTACCATCATCAGTTCTGTGATTCAGAGAGAGACCCTCATAGCCCCATTGAAGGCTTTTGGTTCAGCCACATGAGTTGGTTGTTTGACACAGATTCAGTAGCTGAAAGGGTACGCCTTTTCTCGCCATTTCGACCCCTCTACTTCAGATTTTTTTTGGTTCTTGGATCTTAATATGGATTTGTATGATCTGATCATAACCGAAATCGTTTTACTTGTCAATGGGTTCAAGTGTGGAGGGCCTAGTAATGTGGGTGACCTGGAGAAGCAGCCCTTCTATCAGTTTCTTCGAAGCACTTACATTTTGCACCCCGTCTTTCTGGCCTCGATCTTATATTCGTTGGGCGGATTTCCTTTCGTGGTGTGGGGAATGGTATGTTCTGTATTTTGTACTGTGCTATCTATATGCTTGTCTTTTATAACTATAACTAAGACTTTGCTTTCATGCAGTGGCAATTTGCTCGGTCACATCTCGATTTAATCCGTTAGGCTATTTTTTCCGCCTCGAGTGTTTGATATTGATGGTCCCCCGGTCTGTGATCTCATCTACACAACTTGGGTTTTGTCATTTTGTACATGTGACTTAGAGTATGAACCATAAAAAAGAATTCACGAAAATTGTGTTTGTGATTGATGAGGGTTAGAACCACAAGTGGATTACCTTAGAGTATGAACCATAAAAAAGAATTCACGAAAAGAGTTTGCTCATGCTGTTTTCGTGAATGGATTTTTTCTCGATCTTTTTTGTTAGGCAATGGGGTTGCGTACGTAACTTATGCGTCTACATTCATGCATAAAAAAAAAAAAATCATATGGGTGTGTCATATATGTTATATGATCCATTTATTTGTATTGCAGGGAGTAAGAGTCATATGGGTGTATCATATAACATGGCTGGTGAATTCGGCATGCCATGTATGGGGGAAGCAGGCTTGGAAAACCGGGGATTTGTCCAGGAACAACTGGTAAAAACACGAATCTCTCTCCATATATATAAACAAGTAAATCTCTTATGCGATGATTTTTTTTTTTTTGTAATCGGAAATTTTTCAGGTGGGTAGCGGTTCTTGCGTTCGGGGAAGGGTGGCATAACAATCACCATGCGTTCGAGTTCTCGGCCCGACATGGACTAGAATGGTGGCAGATAGACATGACTTGGTACCTTGTTAGGTTCTTACAAGCCGTTGGATTAGCCACCAATGTTAAGTTGCCTTCTCAAGCTCAGAAAGAGAGAATGGCTTTGAGCTAAACTGTTCCTTTGAGTTCTCTCTTTCTTGTCTACAGGGATGTCCAATTGGATTCGGACACGTGGTCTCAACGGTTTAGAGTCCGGTCAACGATTATAAATATGTGGGTTTATCTATTACTGCGTAATGAATATCTAATGAATCCTTTAAGAAGTGAAGAGTCATGTATAAACCAAATGAATATGGTTTCTTTTTAATGAAATATCAAATTTTATATAATTGTTTTTGGAAAAAACGGTATGATAATAGATTATATGACTTTATAGTTATTAACATGTAAATTCGACGCAAATGGTTGTGGAAGATTAAAACCCGGTTTCATGGAAGATAATCGAGTTTTAGGTATGATTTTCATCGGAATCTAATTATATATATATATATTGTTAAGGTTTGTTAACTTTTTCACATATATATAGAATTGAATTTGATAAAAAAATCGAATTTGATATTAAAAGTTGAGTGTATATATGATTTTTTCGAGAATTGAAAATACTAAAGTCAAGTCAAATATAATAATGAAAATTAACCATAAGAGATACCATACCCATGTGAACACAAAATTAACTGGGTTTCTTTCTATCTATCCTTTTTTTTTTACGAAAATTAATAAATTAAATTGATCAGTTGAATGACTTCACTCAATCCGAAAAAAATCAGGACAAGAATTCGAACATAATATAAAAAAAGATTTACAATTCAACACAATTTTCGTAATCCATTCCGCGAATAGTTATTATCCCTTTGGATATAAACCAAATTGATATTTGAAAATCTATTCCAATGGACTTCAATTTCTTGAATATATGAGTGGCAACTTAGAGATTTCTTGTTGTTATTGATCTTTTCTACGACTTCTTTCTTCTTTGGCATCCACCTCTAATAATATATTGTTAGTGCAATTATTTGCACATGTGTTGTTTTGGTTGTTAAGTAGATAATGCAGGTTCAGGAGATAAATCCGGCGAGATACAACTCGAAATATTTTGAGGTAAATCTGGAGAGTTGGAGTAAAAGTCAGACAGGAGATGGACTCAATGACAACCACTTGGAGAGATTTTAGGAAAAGCAATCTGAAGAGATATAGCCACGAAGTTTGGATTTGACTTGAAGAGATGAAGATAGAATCAAAGCCAAAAAGATCTGAGGAGATTTGAGATAAAGATAAGATCTTGGAGATAAGGTCAAAGGCTGAAGAGATAGAGTCAAACAAGAGATAAAGATGAGATCTTGGAGATAAAGATGAAATCAAAGAGAATCAAGGAGGAGTCTATCAAATCAATTCGTGGAGATCTAAGGCGAACTGGAGGAGCCTATATAAAGGAGAGAGCAAGTGCATATCAGTTCTCACGGAGAGCCAAGCATATTTTACTAAAAGAGAGTCTTTTTGTTGGTGAGTGATAACTCACTTTTGAGTGAGTGTGTGTCTGAGGAAGAGACCGATTGAGCAAATCTATTTCCTCTGGTGAGTGTTTGGGCGTGGATCTGAGGGGGAGACCTAATGGGAAAATCTCCGTTCCTTTGGTGAGCGTTTATTTGATAAGGTTTTTAATCGGTAGAATTCATTGTGAGAATGGGTGTTGAGTAACTCTAACAAAAAGTGAGTTGTACTTGACTTTTTCTCAAGTGAATAGAACTGGTTAGTTTTTCCTTTACTCTTTCAGGGTCCAAACTTTTTCATATACCTCTAATAATATAGACATACAAACTCTTTGTAATATACACTTCATCTATAATATTCCGGAGAATTCTATCTGTCTAATGAATTTATCTATCCAATGACTGTTATAATTTATATTATATCTTAATAATTTTAAACGGTCGTTTGCATAACTCGTGTCTAGTACAACAGCGAACTTAAACATTTCTTCTTTACATTACAGTTGGATGATCAAAACCCTAATTCATGAAAGAAACCGTGAATCTTTTTATTTAGCAGGAGATGAGTAATTTAATCTGACAGATGGTATATTTTCTTCATTAAACTCGTTTTACTATTCTTCTTAGAAACAAATTCTACGTGTATAAATATTTTCACATCTCATTGGAAAATTCCACGTGGGAATTATTCCGCGTTTTTTTGACAGTTTTACATATGTTTTCCGTCTATCATTACACTTGAGTTTCAGATACAAAATTAACGTCGAAAATACAAAACATCGAAACCAAGTTCACGCCCTCAGCTCGGCGGCCGCGACCTTTGATCGTCGGCCAAAACTTCGGTTTTCAATATTAATAATTTTTATTTTAATTTTTTGGTTTTAATTTTTTGTTTTTGGTTTCTGGTTTTAATGAAAAGCAAACCTGAAATCCAATTCATGGCCTCTGAACTTGATCCCGTCAGGCGTAACATCGTGCACACAAGACGACCTAGGACATACCTCTGCATCTAGATACGTGTTTCTTATCACAAGATCTGCTGTCCCCATCACCGACCTGAAATTGCAGAGGTGAATCGCCGGAATCACGCTTTCGTTCACCTCGACAACGATCGGAAACGTATGTTGTGTCCCAGGTACCCGAGATCTTCTCCATCCGTAGTCTTTTCGCTTAGATCGACATCGATAAACGACTTCCGGTCGCTTCAGTCCCTTCATCTCGTTTCGTATTGTGATGTTGAGGTTTACGTAATCGATTTCTTTTGATTCGGTGATCGGAATGATGACGACCTGTAGAACAAGAAACAGAGATAGGGTTTTGAATATATTTTTATTACAATCCATATTCCCAACGTTGTTGCGGGGATTTCCTCTTCTTCGTCCTCTCCTAGATATTATCAGTTTGAAAGGGCTCAGTTGAAACCAAAGCTGTTCCTATGTCTTTTCCGTTTACCTTCGTGCGAAAGAGGAACAAACAAATTGTTAAATTTGCTAAAAATAGATGTTAGTTTATGAACTGATTATGCATAATCTCTCTCTCTATATATAAATATATGTAATTTAATTAATAAAAATTATATATTTATTTAATAAAAGAAAGAAAGAAGAGTTTTGAAAAAACAATACAAAACTTTTGAGTATCTCAATTTTTGGGGGTCATGTACATTCTATAAAGTTTAATTCATAAAACTATAGATTTATATAATAAAAATTAGTACTATTAAAATCATGTAATGATAAAAAATTATAAATTTATATAATAAAAACTATTTAATGATATAAAATAATTTTATAAGCTTTTTAATAATAATAATAATAATAATTTTTTTTAAAATAATTCATAAATAGTAGTACTCTTATTATAAATAAAATTTTCAATTTTTTAATTGAAATATTTTAATTTATTATTGATATTTGTTAATTATAAAATAAATTCGAATTGATAATAAGTTAGTGATAAAAACAAGTTTTAAAATTTTATTAATTCTAATAATTTTATATTTATTTATATTTCAATTATAATATTTTTGTAGTAATTATATTTAAAAAATTCTTTAAAATAAAAAGAAATATACAAATTTAGGTTTATTTTATTTTTATAAAATTTACGGATTTCAGTGACATATTAGTCTTTTATATAAAGTTTACCGTTTCCGTGGACAAGATATGAATTTCTCAGTAGCTAAAATATCCAATTCATTACGGTAATTTATCCTTAATTTCTTCAATGCTGTTATTCTACTAAATTTTTCTTATAGTTTACAAGTTTTTTTTTTATGTAATATAGTTTACAAGTTAAAATATGTAACGTTTGTTTCCTCACCAGAATTATAATAAACACTATACGACAAATGATATTTTCTTACTTGGATGAATTTCGCCAAAATAAACAAATTTCGTTATGAATTTGTGGTTGGAATTCAAATATAATATGAGAAATATTTAATATTCTCTGGAATTCATTTTTCACCTCTCAAAAAGATCACATGTTAGTATGAATCGCACATTCAGAAATTTGTACTGAGATCCCTTTTATCCAAAACGAAACAAACGTTTAATGTTGAAGGTCAATAAAATAATAATATTAATTCAATCCATAGCACAAAAATACCCAAATATACATTATAATTAATCATACAAATCATCATCTTTAATGTTTCATCATCATCGTCATCATCATCATCATCATCAAACTAAGCCTTGGAACCAACCGACATGCCGACCACTGGTATCCGAGGGACGAGGCCCGGGAATTTTCTCCATGGCAATTGTTGGTACGTAACCGCTCTAGGATTCGAGAACTTGCCCTTTGAAAAATCTATTCCCCTAAACACTATTCCATTAGCCGTTACCAAATGAACACAAATCGAGTTACGGCATTTCCGGGCATTGGACTGAGAAATCAAGATGTTGACGAACCCTAGTTCCGATCGGAAATGGCAGACGTGGTTCACTTTGTCGTCTTCTCCGACAGAAACGACGGGAACTTCGAAAGTGTATCTGGATCCTGTTATTACAGATCTTCGCCACCCGAAATCTTTGTTCCTCGACCAGCAACGGTACAAGACTCGGTTCGGTGTCGGGTTTTTCAGTCCGTTCTGTACCATGATTTTCACGGTGGCGTTTTCGGATTTCTGTTGTTGTTGGGAAAAAACGGTGAGAGAGAAGGTGGTGACTTGCAGAACAAAGCACAAAGCTAGGGTTTTTAGGATCTTGTTAAAGCCCTCCATTCTTCTTTTTCTTTTTCTCTATTTTATTTTAACATTTGATTTAGTCTCTTTTATATTTTGTATTCAAGGTGGATTTGGAACCGAAGCTGTTGAAGTGTATATTATTTTTGGCATATTTCCATAATTAGGGGAAATTTTTGTTTTATACGTTTAAAACTAATGAAACGTTAGATAGCCGTTCAAAGAAAGACAATACAAGCAATAATTATAATAGAATTAAAAAAGCCTTTTTAGTTTACAAAACTAACATGTAATACAAAAATTGTTCAAATTATGCCTAGAATTGCGGAATAATTTCTTTGGTTTTTCATTAAGATGTGGAAATATTGATAAATATAATGCTAAATTTAGTCTAATATATATGTATATGTATAAATATATATTATCTATCATTATAGGATAATAATCTGCAAGAATAAATATCCAAACAAGAATAGTACTAATTTCAAAGATTCCTCCTTGAGAAGAAAAATATTATTTATTCAACCAAGTAATTACATGACAAACGTGGATAATTCTTTAATAAAGGCCCAAGATCGTATGAATGTCTGTAAACCTTAAAAACCGAATTTAAGGCTATGCGTATAAAAAAAGGGAGACTATTGATGAATTCGTCGGTTATACCGGTTATTTCCGGTAAGTTTGGCTAGTTTTGCCAGGTCTATTTTATCTGCCATCTTTTAAAATTTCTGTTACAAGTTTGAATTCGTAGCCGCATATGTAGTGAGGGACATTTGTTGATAGAATTCTCTATATTTTTTATAATCCGAAAATTCACCGAATTTTTGATCCAACTACGTCTTCCAATATGTGAATGACTCTCTCAAAATGGAGATTCAAACCTGGATTAAAAATGAATTTTACTTCTTTTTTTATTGATTGAGCTACCCAAAAAATCGAAAGAGGATTGCATTCGATTTTGATATCGATTTCTGTTTTTCCATTCTGTTGCTGGAGCTGGTTTTTGGAAAGAGACCCATAGAAAAAATAGACCGAACTAAAAGGGAATGGGTTCATAATACACCAATGTAAGATTAGGTTTTGAGTTCTGTAAGAAGATACTGTATCTTTTGGCCCTGTCCCGAATCACATCAAAGTTTCAGAGCAAGGCATCAAAATGTTCATGTCAGATATCACAATGGCTAATCGCATCATAAATTCATAATAGTCCTCGTTCTCCCACTAATATCTTCAAACCAATTACAAGGGGCGAAAAGTTCAATACTTACGAGCCATCCTCCGTTGAAATGCTCTTGAAGCCTTCTCATAAACAATAGATTCACTCAGCTTCAAAATCATCATAGTTCTTGTACCTCATCTGCATTCATCGGGTCCGAATAAGACAGAGCAAAAATTGAAAAAGATCAAACCTTCAAACCCGAAAAGGATTCACCTTCGAGTGGCTTCATCTTGGGATATTACCTTTTTCTTTTCCAAAACACACAAATCTTCACACTGAATTGAAACATCTCCAGTTATATGCAACGAATTGTTTCTTAGCTAAGGTTTTTTCGAATAACTAGCTCGGGTCAAAAGGAAGGCAGATATCACAACGGGGGCGATTATAATGAAAAGGGCCAATGCAAGATTAGGCCTTGTGATCTCTGGCAAAAGGACGCTTCCATACTTAATGGCTGCAGCCGCCGCCATGGAACCAGCTCCCAGTTTCCAGAGGTAGTTCAAATCCTCCTGTTTCACCACAACACCAACAATTTACCATATAACCGAGTGTTAATATATCTTGACTCCACAAACTGAGAACTTTGAAAATTGAATCAGCGAAGAATCTCTTATGATCAGAGATTATATCATAGTCAACGTTTCCACGTTTAGCATCAATGCGCGCCGCCCGCCATGGAACCAGCTCCCAGTTTCCAGAGTTAGTTCAAATCCTCCTGTTTCACCACAACACCAACAATTTACCATATAACCGAGTGTTAATATATCTTGACTCCACAAACTGAGAACTTTGAAAATTGAATCAGCGAAGAATCTCTTATGATCAGAGATTATATCATAGTCAACGTTTCCACGTTTAGCATCAATGTGTAAAGACCACAAATCGTGCCACTGATTTGCAATTATCATCGGGATGAGGGCTTTCCTGTACTTAAAAAAAGTTCACCGCTTCTTTCCTCAAATCTAATAAATACGGGGCTATTCTGGAAATTCTTCTTTTTCCCGAAAAGAAAAAATCAAAACCAAAGGCTTACATTCTACAGAAAACTGACCTGGATGCCCGCGCCGTCGTGGGGTTCACCGGTGCCGTCGTCGGGTTGTCCCTGACGGCGATCGGAAGCTCTGACTTGAAATGACCGTTTTGCCCCTGGCTGGCACTGCGGATTTCTCCCGATGGTGACGAATTTGACGGTGGACAACGCCGTCTTCTTCTTCGTCGAGGGTTTCAAGATCCGGCAATCGGAGCTCGAGCGATGGAGCCTCAGAGGTTCAACAGCCATCGCCGGAGTAAACGCCGTAGCTGACATTCTCTCTCTCTCTCTAACTGGTTTTTATGTCATATTTTTCTTTTTTCCCTGATTTTTTGGCGGCTTTTATGTTCACGCTTTTGTGAATGGCCTGAGGAAACTCTCTTGCAGACAGAAGATAAGAAAGAGGAGCCACGTTTCCATGAACGCCGCGTTTGCATTTTGAAGCATTGACCGTAACGCACCTCTAAACATTGGAAACGCAAACGCCGGATGAGGTTGTTTGCGTCTTAAACGTCTAAATGGATTTTTTGTTTCGCGTTCAAGTGGGTACCTTTGAGAAAGAAATAAATAATTGGGAAAATAAAACATGTTTTTATCAACAAAGCCCTCTCTCCGGACCCTCCTAAAATTTATAATTTCCATATGATAATCCAAATCCACAAAATATAGAGTTTTCATATGATAATTCCAAAAACAAATATTTGAATTAAACAAAAACTGGGATAACATGTTATCTTAAAAACACATCGTATAAAAAGTCGATGACACTATTGATATATATATATAAATTTAGAATATTTAGATATATTAATATTTACATGGCATATTAACATATTTGTATGATTTCTCATATTTTTTGTAATACTAATATAATAATATTTTTTGTTTTTATTTTGTTATATGATATCAAAGATTCGGTTTTTGAATGGGACCAGGATAAAGATCATAAAGATACTTGGGTCCAAAGAAAATCAAAGCTTCTTTACTAGAACAGTTGATGATTCTTCTGGTAACCTATATGATCGTGGGTTCGATTCCGAGCTGTGAAGATAAATGCTTAAAAGTGACGGGTGGGTCCGTCACAGTCATCTGAACGTCTGATGAAGCAAGTGCCGTCTGAGCTCAAATTTTTCCTCTTTTTTTTTTTGTTGCATTTTTCTTTACTCTTTCGTTGGTCATCGCAACAATGGCAGAATCTGTATCCAAGGATTCCTCTTTTTTATTTTTTGAATTGGAACGTGCAAGACAATGGACCAGGTCAAGCAAGAACATGCCCAGAGGATCAGACCCATGGATGATCAGACCTTTGTCTTTTGGTGTAATTGGCAAGGTGGTGACATAAGTCACGCCCATAAGTTGTTCGACCATATGCCCGAAAGAGACATGGCCGTGTCAAAACACGATGATCAAATGTTGATCCAAGGCGGATTGTGAAAGGAGTTTTGTAGTATGTTTATATGGAAGTTCAATAACAGGTGGCTTTCTGTAACGATATAGAGTTTTAGGAAGGAGAGAGAGATGGGACATTATCAAAAATGCCCTTAAAATGCTATTTGTACTTCATGGGGTACCCTTCCCTCAGAAAAAAAAAACACCCCCTTCCTTCACATATACCCTTCTCATATGTACAATTTCCATTATACCCTTTATATTATAAAACAAATAAAATTAAAATAAATAAAAATAATAATTTCTTTCCTAAAAAGCAGTGTCGATTTTTCTCTCCTCATTATCAGTTTTCATTCTCTCTCCTCCGATATTTGCGTTCTCTCTCTCCTTCGTTTGCTCTCTCCCTCCGTTTGCTCACTCTCTCTCTTCCAATTTGGACTCTGTCTCCGCCGCCGCCGATTTGCTCTCTCTCCCAATCGATTTGCTCTCTCTCT